GGATCTAACTGTCTAGAAGGAGGACAGTTCCTCAGCATTCTGTCCATCAAACAGCCAGAAATAGGCCTTATTTTCAAAGTTGGTTTTATAGGCACATGATAAAAATTCACTGAGGAACAGAAATGTAGAGTGAAAAGTAAGTCTCGCTTCTAATGCTGTATTCAAGCCCCCGGCCTCACCTACAGTCAGTGGTTTGTTTCCATGACTGATCCAGGGCACCCAGGGACTATCACAGCGTGCCCTGGACTATCCTTTAAGAACCTTTGCAAAACCTCTGATCCAAGCCCTGCCCTGAAGCTGCCTTAATCACACAGTGGCATTTGGAGAAACCGTCAGAAGGGAATAACAAATTCCCAAAGGGCCACAACACCTACTTCAGCTAGACCAGGCAGGCAAGAGGGCCAAGGCAGAGAGAGAAGGACTCTGAAAGGCAGCAGTGGGACATGAAAGTAGAGAACCCACATCAACCTACACAGAAGACCAGGTCCCTCAGAAGCTAAAAACAGGATGTGGGCCAAGGTCAGACTGGGGAGGGTGTGGGCAGGATGCCCAAGCTTTGCCACTGAACTGATGAAGTCTTAGGAGTGAGACCACAAGGCAAATAATCGTAGCATTCTAAACTCATACACTTTAAAACTGTTTTTTATTATAGAATATAAGTCTGTGATTTAAAAAGAAAAAAAAAGGTTCAACAAGAGCATAACATAAAAAAAGAGCCAGAACTGGTATTTCTCCTGGGCATCCTTCCATAAGCCGGCCCGCACATGTGTCGGGTATGGTACTAGAGAAGAGGGGACACAACAGTTGGAGATGAACAATCAAGCGAAGAGATGAGCGTCAGATGACAAGACGTCAGTAAGAAGAGAATGATGATCCAAAAAGGAAGGGGATGCCTGCGGATGGAGGGTTCCAGTGCAGGAGTGGGTGGGCATGAGGGTGCACATGACCTCTGTGAAGAGCAAAGTGACGCTCCCACAGGAAACTCCAAAACAAAGAATGGGGGTGCTCGGGTCAGGCAGCTTGGGCTCAACCCCAGCTCTAGCGGGCAAAGCAGACGCAGGGACACTGCCCTCCTCGGAGGGTTACTATGAGCAATGAGTGAGAAAAATACATCGAAACATCACAACCTGTACATGAATCATGGTCGCAGCAGCTTTATTTGTAACAGCCCAAACCTGGAAACAACCCAACGTCCTTCAAGGGTGAATGGATAAGTAAACCATGGTATACCCCATCCATAGAATACAATTCAGCAACGAACAGGAACGATTTACTGATGCAACGTGGAGAATGTCGAAGGCATTACACTGAGTGAAAAAAAGCCAGTCTCAAAATGTCAAACATTGCGCGATTCCACTGAAGTAGCATTTGCAAAGTGACAGAATTATAGCAACGTGGAATAGATCAGTGGTTGCCAGGGCTTGAAGTTGGAAGGAGGGTGGGATTATTAAGAGATAACACAACAGCTTGCTACTGGTGATGGAACAGTCCTGCATGCTGACTGCGGTGGTGATACCACACGTGATAAAATCTCACGGAACTATACGCACGTCAGCTCATGAGCAAGAATGCTTGTAAAAACTGGTGAAGTCTGAAAAAAGGCCACCTGAGCTGGCAGCACCGTTGCAACGTTCATTTCTCGGTTTTGACAATGTACTACTTAGAGGTTAGCATCGGGGAAGCTCGGTGAAGGGCACATGGGCACTCTCTAGGCCATTCTGCAACTTCCTGTGACTCTTCGGCTATTTCAAAAAATACATACAAAAAAATACATGCAAAGGGGAGAAACGTACCAAAGCACTTTGCAGTACTGAAGTACACTCTGAGTGCCAAATCACAGCTCATGAAAATCAAAGGGCCAATAAGACAGGCCCCGGAAAGAAGAGGGAGACCCGCGCCACATACTCCCAGCTGGAGCAGCTGCACGGAGGGGCCAAGGGGCTGGGTCCTGCTGAGAGGTGCAGAGGGCAAGGCACCTCCTTTAGGGAAGGGAAGCCTGGCCACGGGGCAAGGGCAGCACTGGAAGGAATGGCTCCCGAGATGGGGGCCCCTTCTGGGACCTGTGGGGTGCTGACAGCACGGCTTTGTGGGTGACAACAGCCTGAGACATGACTGTGTCTATTTCAGCTACAAAACACAGCCCCTTGGATGGAGTCCCAGACTACTCCAATCTCCTCTGAGTCCTCCACTCCTGCTCAGGGGTAGAAGGAGGGCCTCGGTGTCACTTAACCCTTCTGATAGCCCGAAGAAGGTTTGGAACTTTTTCTCTCCATACACAACAAAGAAAAAGACAGAGCTACTTGGGAGTTTCTCCAAGCTTTTCTCAATACCACCCTAAGCAAAGGAATAAAATGTACATCACCTGCAAAGAAAGTGGCAAGCTCTCGGAAAAGCATGGTACTCACTCTGTGGTGCTGCTGTAGACACAACGGCCATGCCGTGGGGGGCCATCCCCGAGGTGCCTGGGGGTGGCTGCCCTGAAAGCGGCATCGGCTGCCCCATGGTGCCAAGGCCACCCATCCCGCCCAGAGACTGTCCTGGGCCCCGAGAAGGCATGCCGATTCCAGCTGCTCCCGCAGCGGGCCCACCAGTCAGGCTCTGTAGTGCATTCATAGGGTCTGTGGGAACACAAGGGCACAGCGTCTCAGCTGAGTGCCTGCTGAACCGCAAGGCTCTGAAGGCTATGAGGCCTCACAGAGCACACACTTCCTCCCACCTCCAGGCACGACTCCCTCAACCCAAGCAGTGAAAGGCCAGAGTCCTGGGAGCCTGTGGGCCCACAATTGCCCATCACACCCCAGGAGCCCAAATGCCAGTGTATATGTCTTTGCTCCTGGATTGTGAGCCCTCCCGGGCAGGGAACACATCTCAAACCCTGGCCTGGACTGTGCCAGGATCCTAATGCTGAGGGACAAACAAGCCCTTGAAGGCACGTAGCAGCCCCCATCCCTCCTGGCTGTACACTCCTCCTGCTGGGTGAGACCGAGCTGGGAACCCCAAAGACAACAAAGGACAGCAGGTCCTTCTTCATGGGAAGAAAGACCCTGTGGGCCAGAGAACTGAAGAGGCACAGACAGATGTTCTCTTGGGGAAGTTACAAGTCTCCTTGTACACCAGAAGCCCACCTCTGCTAAGTCTGTGCAGGACCCCCGCTACAGAGTTCTCAGGACACCACACCAAAATAAGCTAAGGTGTGCAGGAGGGATGGGGAAAGGGTCCACAGAGTGCCACAAGGCACAGTGATGCCTGCCAGGAGGCAGTGGACTCCGCTCAGTGAGCAATGCCATGACCTGGAACAAGGAGCCCAAGGCTCTTGTCAGAACAGTGTAAACTCAAGGCAAATGACTACCTATAGACAGGTATGGCCCAGCCAGTGTACCCTGCGCACAAGCGGGTGCCAAAGGAACATACACTCCAAGGCCAAGAACCCACACATTTTCCCGGCCACATGCTCTTTATCCCACCCAGCCCTGGCTTGCTGATAATTCCTGCACATGCCAAGAGAGCCCAGCAGGGAAAGAGGGGCAGCCAGCTCGGCTGAGGTAAGCCTGGGCACCCAGCATTTACAGCTGTGCTGCCTGTGGTAAGAAAAACAGCGTGCCTGGCTGGCTCCCTTCCTGACAGAGCAGAGCTCAGACGGCCATCATGGATTCGCTAACCCCCCTCACTAGCAGCTCGGTCAGCAAGACCAGGGCTGAATCAACACAGTTCCCATATGATAAAGTCTTAAAATTAAAAAAAAAAAAAATAGTAATTCTTAACTTGTGAAGAAACTCTGTAACTTGAGGAAGTGAATTCACAGCTACTCTTCAACAAATACTACTACAGGTTATTATAGTGAATAGACCACGATAACTCTCTTCCAGAGAGCTCAAAATTCTAGATAATGTCTCCATAATTGTGGGAGTTTTTAATCATCTTTTTGCTGGACAAAAACAGTATTTGAGTGACATGGGTAGGGGAGGTCTTCTCTGACTGCAGCCGGCCAGGAAGAGGAAGCTCGGAGGAGGGTTGGGTGTGGCTCGCAGTTCTCACGGCCAGCCAGAATTCTTCTTTCTGCGAACTTTCTCCTCTAAAAACTGCTTAACCCAGGCAACAGGCAGCATCCACAACTGCATTCTTGCTGCCCCAAACCCAAGCTTGGGATAAAACTTTAATTCAAACAGGAAGAACTCTTACCACTGACGGAAGCTTGAGATTTTTTGTTATCTGTATTTAAGAAAACAAAAACAAAAAACAGTAAACAAAGTTTTATATAACCACATATTTCCACGGTAAGTCAGCTTTGTAGGCATTTGCCTAGAGGTCATTTGCTGAAACTAAACACAAGATAAAAGATATTTCGAGTGTGCGTGCCTGTGTGCACACATGCATGTCCACTCCTGGCAGAGCTGACATTCAAGGGGGTCTGAGGGAAAAGGGTACAGAGCCACCCAAAGTCAACCCAGGGCCTCAGAGAACTGCCCCCCAGGCAGAAGCTTGCTGTGGGCCTACTCTGGCTCTCCTTCCTTCCTGGGTGCAGGGTCTCAGTGGGGCCCTGAGCAACAAACACGAGAGCTGTAGGGATCCACGATGGGTCCAGAATGGTGCTGGGATTTCCACGACACCTCCTTTTTCAGCCTGCTCTGATGAGGCAGCATCCCTACTTTCTCCATGAGGAAGAGGAGTCTGTCCAAGGCTGGCTAGAAGCCGGATCTATAGCTGCCCCTAGTACCAGGGGGCAAGCGCTGCAACAGGGCCTCCTCCCGGGTGAGCGATGAGCTGGTGAGAAGGCAGGGGACACGCCTGGCCCCCAGGGCTGTGTGCTGCTACGCCAGGGCCGCCTCCCAAACAGGCCAGGAGAGCCCAGCCCCGACAAGCAGAGCCACTTGCCAGGGCAAACCAAGGCGTCTCATCCAGGCTGCTCGTTCCCCAGGCTCCTAGTTCCAACAATTTATTCTAAACACCACAGGACCTTCCCAAACACGCCAAAGAAAGTGGAATCAAGTGAAGTTCACCTGGCTGGCCGTTCTGGTAAAAAGTTAGTATGGAAAGAAGCAAAACCTATGGGCCACACAGGGACTCTGGGGTTCGCAAATCTCCTTTTGTCTGAGATTACCGACTAAAGCTGTTGCCACCTCTACAAGCACGGGTAGAAACCACTGGACGTGCCAAGTCGTGCAGTCCACAGAAAGGCTGTGTCAAGCGAAGCCCATCTCCTGTGGTCACATAACTGCAAGCAGGCAGGCGGCGCTGTCGGCTGAAACCTCAGAGGGCCCCGCCAACCTGGTTTCCTTTAGAGACTGTGACCGACCATCCAGGAACACTCAAGTCTCCTCCATGCTTATGTATAACACACAAAAGACCACAAAGACCCCTGAGCTCAGTCTGCAAGGACACACACTTCTCAAGGGCCACTGCCACTGCCAGGCTGGGCTGACAGGACCCCAGCAGGACCCTGTGAATCAGAGCGGGTGGGGTGCAGCAGGCGCCAGGCGACCCTCAGCAGGGCAGGGAGGGGGAGGCAAGACTCGTGAAGGTCCAGCCTGGCAGGAACACGCACTTAGGTCAGACCCCCACGGGTCAATAAAACCAACTCCTAGGGAAGGAAGTTTCTTTTCCAGGGTAAACCTGGCTTATTTAAGAACTGCCTAGAGACAAAGGCAACAGTCTTTTGAAAAAGGAGATGTTCATGGACAAGCAAAAATAGCAGTCCAGACCACTTGGAGGCTAACATTTCCATTATGCCAAAATCAGCATTTTTGAGGTTGAGGCTCTGAGAGGATGGGAAACAGAATCAAATGCAACACAACGTCGAACTTCCCAGGAAGCAGGAGCTTTTTACACAGACGTTCTGCCGCAGGCACTGTGGCCAAGAATGGCCAAGAAAGCCCCCCCCGTCCCAAGAAAGGGTCAGCCCCTTCTGGCCATCCAAACCACCCAGAAATGTAAATTTTTACTTACGAATGTCTCGAAAATGGATAATGAGCCTGGCCACGAGAGAAAGGTATTCGTCCTAAAAGTAAAAACAGGAAGCAGTTTAATCCCAGATGAAGAAGTGAAGCCGTGTGACGCCCCTTTCCGC